CACACGGGAGTCAAAAAGTAAGACAATGGTAACAAAAAGGCTTGAATTTATTTGGAAAACTAATCAGTATGAGTGAGCGTAACCTACCCTTCATGGAAAACCGGAACACCAGGATGATGAACACAGGAATTAAAATTACTACTTTCATCTTGATATGGCTGAAAAAATAAAATAATACAAGCCATGCATGGTACAGTCCCTGTTAGTTATCGAATTTAAGATATATAGTTTTGTTTATAATGATTGACATCTGGCTTATTTTGCTGACTGGAAAATGCGCTAATTTAAAACCCATTGAATATGCTTGTAAACCAGCGAAATTTAAATCCAGTGAAAATTAGTCATTTTACAGTAGTCAAACGAGAACTTGTCCATATTGAGAGATACTGCTCTGAAATTAATTAAAACAAAATCAGCCATTTTGAACACATCTATATATCTATAACAATGTATAATGAATATATAAAATTTTAAGATAATCAGTCAAAGTATGGCAGTGATATGGCACTAGAACTGCATTCATTAAAACGAAATGGCCACCAGACGGCCATTTTAAATTAGATCTAAAAAACAAAATGACGTGCATCAAGGTCCCACAATGTCCAATGTATGTACCAAGTTTGAACAAAATACATCTGTAAATGGCCGAGAAATGTTTGATATTTGATGATTTTTTCAGCAAAAAAATTGATGTGCATATGTATAATATAATGTATGATGTACGTGTGATGTTTGAATGTAATTGGTCCAGGCATGTCTACGATACAGGCCCGGACGCACACAAGAACACATAAACACACTGATGCACTAAGGTCAATCCATAAGTTCCCATTTTCGGACTGCGTCCAAACAGGAACGAAAAAAGTTTAACTGATCAGAAAGCTAATTTTATCGATAAAGTAAATCAAAGAAAGCTTAGAAAGAACTCCCATATGCTGAGAGTATTGGAGACACATTAAAACTATTTCAAAATTTAAGATTTGCATTTCAAACGAGAAGCTTAGCAACTAATATTTGTCTGCAATTTGCAATGCACAACATGAAAAAAATGTGATTTACATTTATTAAAATGTATAATACATACAGAAAATACATGGATTTTTCATCCATGGTTTTTAGTCTAATTAATTAGAGCACCTCTGTGATGAATTCAATATAAATCTGATTTTTTAAGACATCGAGAATAGGCTACATGTAATAATAGATAAACAATATGCATGTTTAACTAATTAGTAAATATGTAGTTGAAAATTGGCTAATTATGCAAATTAATTAAAAACAAATCAGGTCTGTGCATTGTCCTAGAACATGTACTAGGATTCATTGAAATGGGATAATTAGTACTTGCGATATCAGTGTAAAAGCTGAAAATTATGCAAATTAGTTGAATAATATGCACACATTTTACCCAAAATTAATCAGGTAAAAATTAATAATGCATTATTCCAGAAAATCTATGTACCAAGTGTCATTGAAAATAATGAAGTGATAGTACATGAAATATCAAAAACTGAAATTTTATTAATTATGCAATATAGGTAATAATATTTCACACATCTGTCTGCATTGTCCTATGTATCTATGTAAATTTCATTGAAATGTGATAATTAGTACCGGAGATATCAGTGGAAAAACTGAAAATTGATTAATCATTATGCAAATTAGGTTAATTATATGAATGGATTTTTACCCAAAACTAATTAAATCTGTGCATTGGTCCAGAGCATCTATATGCCAAGTTTAATCAAAGTCAATGAATGACTCTTTAGATATCAGTGGAACAGTCATGGAACAGTCATGGAACAGGTAAAAATTAGCTTATTATCATGCAAATTAGATAATTAATATGCATGGTTTCAATCGAAACTTAATCAAATCTGCGCATTAGCCTAAAGCATCTATGCACCAAATATCATTAAAAACCAACATACAGTTCTTGAGATACATGTATCAGTGAAACAAACGAACAGACGGACACATACATGCATACAAAAAGACAGACTAACTGCAAAGACTCCCATTGTGTGCTTCGCACATGGGAGTCAAAAACCAAAAATACATACCTGGCCACAGCCGCCATTTTTACATATAGTTCCTACTTTGACTGCCGCTGTGCCTACTTCACCTACATCTGAAAATAAATGTACAGTAATATTCATAAAACATGCAGATTATCTCCCCTAAATGCAAACAAATCTGCTTTTTGATCAGACACAATCTTGTAAGTAGCTTTTCATTGTAGTATAAGTAGCTGTATGTGTACATCAATGACATCAAAAGATCACCTTGAGATAACAGTTGTCACTATAGATGATATATTTCTTTACTTTGAAGTTAAAATGCTAAGAAACAAGTCATTGTCAATGACACGTCCCCGTTCCTTTCATATTTGAGTGACATATACATTCAAAGCAGATCATGACCGAAATGCACCTGCATATGTACAACACATTGTACTAAATCTGAACAAAATCCATCCATGCATGACTGAAATCCGGTTCCGGAATTGTGAAAATACGTGATTTTGATGCATTTTCGGCCTTAAAATGGTCATCATTCAGCTATTGTTAAGCAGATCATGAAACAAATGCACATATCTATTTGTGACATGATGTACCATGTGTGTGTGAAGTTTGAACTTGATCAATCCAAGCATGTCTCAGATACGGATCCAGTCGGCCATTTC